TCCTTTAATCCGCTCTGTCCGTTTAAAAGTTACTCACCAAGACGCTATATTCACGGAGATAGAGGCGGCGGTTTCTTTTGCTTCAAAGGAAGCAAAAACAGCTGGGAGGCGGAGATCAGCAGGAGCTCCGAGGGAATACTCCTTTCACCCCCTCTAGGAATAAATCCAGAGGGGGTTCAGGGGTTCTACCTCTACTCCTGCGTTCTCTATCCCTTCCCTTTGCCCGGGAAGGGAATTGCGAACCGCGGGCCAGCTGATACGCGCTGGGCTCCGCGATTCTGACACCTTCCCAGCTGGACGGCTAAGAATTAGCCGCCATCGCCGTCGCCCCGTACCGGAAGCTCCCTGAAAAATTGTTATCAGTATATTATTTAGGGAGACTACCTTGGTCATTTTCATTAGAAATTAACTATATATATCAAAGCCTCTCTATGATAGGAATTTTAGAATGAGATATGATTTAAAAAAAGTTAAAATCAACAATGTAAAAGAAAACACATTAATAAAACAAAAAACATTAAGAATTTAATTAAAATATTTTGTTTATAAGAAAGAATTATGTAGCCTTTCTATGAATCTTAGTGGTCTCCAAGAAATGGACACAAAGCTATTGATCAAAAAAAGAGCAACACTAATTAGAATATGGATTTCTTTTTTTAATATGATCAGTGAAGATCTTTATCTTCAACCACAAATCTTTGGATCCATCAGTAATATTATGTCTCATCCTCCACCCCAATTTTGAGAGACACCATCTTTAAATATGCTTATTTTTTGCATGTTCATTTTCCGATGCTTCGTGATCCATTTCTGATTTTCTTAGTACTTCTAATTTCATTTTCTTTACCCATGTAAACTCTTCAGATGAATTAATGTACTGTACTCACCTGCAATAATCTAATATCATATGTTGGATCAGACTTGGCCTCCTTACTAATCCAGGCATTGAATAGTCTTTTACTGTTATATTAAAATTTCTTCTCCTGTGAAAAGATATCTGAAATATCTTAGTAAGTAGCTCTGGCTATAAATCTACAGTGAGATTTGCATTATCTCACTACAGAGATCCAAACTGAATTGATCATCCATGTTGCTGTAGCATAATTTCTCTCACGTAGAGAAAGTTAACTGGCATTTTACCAGTTGTTCCTTCAACCTTTGTACAAGAATCTTTGACATCTGTGCTAAGGCCTTTGGCAGACTTTTCTAATTCCCAAAGAATGTCTCCAGCTTATTCAACCAGAAATTGGTAGGGTTTCTTCTGAGTTATCACATAGCTTTGATCTTAGTTATATATCACTTGTTTCTTCAGCTTTTTATGTGGTAATAATTACACATGTTCACATATAATATGGAGAAGTGCCTGTAAGCTGTTCATTGCTCAGCAGTGATATATCTGGTGATAATGTGCTTTCAGTTCTCACTGTGCAGTACTTTGCAACACCCGGAGTTTAATTGAAAATACACTCTGACCTTGGTTTTCTTCACTGGGCACAGAAAGGACATAATTGCGGTGAAGCTACTGAGAGACATTATTCCAAAATGTCATATTGCTAATTTTAGCAGTAGAAGTCCCTCCTACTAAAAGAAAAATCCCAAAATCCAAATATAAATATACAATGTGTCACTGTTCTGTATTAATAAAACAAGTATTTTTTTAAAGAAAAAATCATCTTATTTCTCTGAACCACTTTGTTATTTTCAAAATGCCATGGGACTGCACTCATTTGATTTCTTCTAGTAATCTATTCCTCATTTATTATTACATAAACAACTTGCACACTGCAGACCACAAAAATATCTGTACTCCATTTTACCTTCAAAAGGTTTCCATAGCTACAAAGGACAAGATTATAATTAACATTTGCTGGACAGAGGATTCTTAACAACATTTCCACTTTCATAGATAATTGTGATTTTCCTCCCAAATATATTCTGTCAGATAAACTGTGATTTTGATGGATTTTCTATATGTCTATAAACATTATATTTCTGTAGTCTATAAACACTGCTCTCTGAATATGTAGAATGTTTCTATTACTGGAGGTTTTCTTTAGAATTCCAAGATTAGTTTTCTTATTTTGTTTTATTTCTTCCATGTATATTACTTCCGGTGAATGGTTAGGCATCTAAAATAGTAGAAAGACTTCAGAAGATCAATGCCCTTTCAAGAACTACTGAAATGAGGATTAGATAGGCCAAAGATCAACCATCCATTAATATAATGAAACAGCTGCTTTGTAACTCTCCCTAATCAGTAGAGATTACAAGTTTACAAGATCTGATTTAAAATGTCTTGCAATGAGGTAGAAAAGTAAGTTATTTTCCAAAGGTCAAAGTAAGTGATACCAGTTAGTTTTGTTAATGACAGTGTTAACTCAATTTTTCAGTAGGAGTAAAATCTAAACAACATATCTGATATCCCATATAAATTCATAAGTTAATTATTTTTTCTAAATGGATTGCTATGTGAACAGTAATATATTTTACCCTATTTTTCAAAGTACAAGATTTCTCCCACTGATATAAAATTAAACTGCTTGAAGTTTTAAAGGAAAGCCTTTAGCAGATAGTATTTTTGTTCTACTAAACATGTGTATTGTATATCTGTACACTCTGGGTAAGTAATGTGCTTAGAGTTGCTGTAATTTATAAGACTTCACTTAGGGCTGATTTATAGGAAATTTCATTAATCTCTACAGCACAGGGACCTTGCAGTGAGCAATAGATTCAAAATGAATCCAGAGCTGGATTTTGGTACAATCACAAATGAATCAGCACTCAGAGACTTTGAAGAGTAATAATAATTTGCAAAGTTGAAAAGTGAAATAACTGAAAGAAGCAATTTTGGAAGGTAACTCTGAAATTGCCAACCCTTTATTTTTGCATTTGGGACATATTAGTAATAACAGTTTCTATCCTCCAGTGGTCAAAATATGAGGGTTGGGGACAATGTGTATAAGGAAATAAAATCAGTTTTTATATCTATTTCCTGAAGTAAGCAAACAATAAGTATTCTGTCAGCAGATGTATTCAAGAGATAAAAGCTTTTGGACATCCCTTGGCATAAATAATTAAAGACATTTTCCTCCTTGGAGGAAAGATTTGCAAACCTAATATGATTCATAGAAGATTTTTTTCTCCTAAAACAATGTGTTTTGGGTAACTTAACCCACCTCTCAAAACTTCTGAAGAGTACCAGCATGGGGAAGTATGATATACTAAGTCAGTGGTGGCGAACCTATGGCATGGGTGCCAGAGGCGGCACTCAGAGCCCTCTCTGTGGGCACGCGTGCCGCCCCCCAGTCCTAGGCCTTCAGCTGGGTTTTATAAAACCTTTTTGTTTTAGGTCTTTGCCGCTGTGTGCAAAAAAAAAAAAAAAAGGTACAATCAGTCAATTTTAACTTCTCACGGAAAAAAAAATCTTGCAAAGTTGGAATTGATTGATTGAACTTTTTAGTCCCACCCAGTCTGCCTTTACCACCGCAGCCACCCCCATCCAATTGGCCATGCCCATCCAATGGGCCACACCGAGTTGGCACTCGACGATGCATAAGTCGGTTTTCGGTTGCAGTTTGGGCACTCAGTCTCTAAAAGGTTCACCATCACTGTTCTAAGTACTTAAATTACATATAAAAGTAGAATATACATTAAAAGAATGCAGAATGAAGACTTCATTTAAATCTGCTTTTTTAATTTTTTACTTTTGGTCATTTTGTGGCTTAATGAACTAGAGTTAAAAACATCACAGCACATTTAAGAAACATATACAATCAATCTCTTAATCTCTGTTTCCCTTTATGTATGGTTTTGCCTATCCAGATTTCAAACCTAAGCATGCATGGTAAGGGTTTTACATTTGTGTGCTTTAGGGCTATGTTTTGTTACTTTTGCATGTGCAAAATGGCAGACAGGCTTTGGCATACACTTGAACATGCATAAAAAGTACACTTGTCAAGGTCTTATTAGACTGATTCATCATTTCTGAATGTTAAGCCAGTATGGAACCTCTGCAATAAGGATATTAAAAGCTATTTGTTCATATTTTTCATTTATCTTTCATCCAAATGTTTAAACAAAGAAAAACTGATCAGATATTTTACTTTTGGTGGGCATGGACAACTTGTACGCTAGACTGCTTTATTTGAAATTCTTGCTAAACCCTAGATGAAAAATATAAATCTCATTTTGACAATTCAGTCATCATTTTATCCTTATTCAAAGGTTAATGTTATGGATCTCCATCTTCAGTTTTAGAAGTTCTGCTAAGAATGGATGTTAGCTTCCAACTGACCTGTACATCCAATAATTAAAAATCTCTGAAAATAAATTCCAGATAAAGGTTCTGAATGTTCTTCTTTAAGTAATGTGATTACAGAAGTGAATTATCCAGTAATATAGTTGTCTTTAAGTTAATTATAAATGTTTTAATAGCCTTTTAAATGGTGTTATAATTAGACTTAGATTTATTGAAATGAATAATTTAATTCTGATAATTTAGCTTAATTTTTAGATTGATTTTATAAGTGTATAATTCAGTTTTTGGCTGGTTACCTTCAGATGTGTTGGACTCTTTTTCTTAATTGCCTGCCAACATAATAGTGGTTGAGAATTGGATCAGCAAAAGTTCAGTATAGCTGGAATGTCTGCTGAAAACAGTGAGTTGGCTTAAAGTAATGTTCATAGTTCTGTAATCTTGGCCAAAACAGTAGTTTCAGTAGGCATTTTCCCTAATTGTTAGAATTAAATTTAATTTTACACTTTATTTTCTTTTACAAGATATTTTTTTGCACACAAAAGAAAAACCTCTAATGACCGAAGGGTAATTTTAATTGTTAACTTATATTAATAGTTAATCCCTGAGAAGTTTGTTTCTAGGTAGTCGTATATACTGCTTAGGTGTAAGCATATTTTTAAACTAATGTGTGAATACACAATTATAAGTATGAAATAAAAATGCAATATTTGATACTAATATTGCTGTTTTCTTTTTTCTTTAGACTATTGGAACTCCTGAAGGACCAACTCCAAATAAATTATGAATGTTGAACAAGATGAGCTTACATCCACAGCAGATAATGATAGGTCCTAGGTTTAACAGGGCCCTATTTGACCCGTTGCTTGTGGTGCTACTGGCTCTTCAACTTCTCGTGGTTGCTGGTTTGGTCAGAGCTCAGACTTGCCCTTCTGTCTGTTCCTGTAGCAATCAGTTTAGCAAAGTAATTTGTGTGAGAAAGAATCTGAGAGAGGTCCCTGATGCTATATCTACTAATACTCGGTTATTGAATCTCCATGAGAACCAAATTCAAATAATCAAAGTGAATAGCTTCAAACACCTGAGGCATCTAGAAGTCTTGCAACTGAGCAGGAATCACATTAGAACAATTGAAATTGGGGCCTTCAATGGTCTGGCTAATCTCAATACTCTGGAACTCTTTGACAATCGTCTTAGCACCATTCCTAATGGGGCATTTGTGTACTTGTCAAAATTGAAGGAACTTTGGTTGCGAAACAACCCCATTGAAAGTATACCTTCTTATGCTTTTAATAGAATCCCTTCCCTGAGGAGGTTAGATCTGGGGGAATTAAAAAGGCTTTCATATATCTCTGAAGGTGCCTTTGAAGGTCTATCTAATTTGAGGTATTTGAACCTTGCTATGTGCAACCTTCGGGAAATTCCTAACCTCACACCCCTTGTAAAACTGGATGAGCTAGATCTTTCTGGGAACCACTTAACTGTTATCAAGCCAGGGTCTTTTCAAGGATTAATGCACCTGCAGAAATTGTGGCTGATCCAATCCCAGATTCAGGTGATTGAAAGGAATGCCTTTGATAACCTTCAGTCACTAGTAGAGATCAATCTGGCCCACAACAATCTAACACTACTGCCTCATGACCTCTTCACACCTCTCCATCTGGAAAGAATCCACCTGCATCATAACCCTTGGAATTGCAACTGTGACATCCTATGGCTCAGCTGGTGGATTAAAGACAAAGCACCCTCCAACACTGCATGCTGTGCCCGTTGCAACACACCTCCCAGCTTGAAGGGAAGATACATTGGCGAGTTGGACCTAAACTACTTCACATGCTATGCTCCTGTGATTGTGGAGCCACCAACAGACCTCAATGTCACTGAAGGCATGGCTGCTGAGCTTAAATGCCGAGCATCAACATCCCTGACCTCTATATCTTGGATTACTCCAAATGGATCTGTTATAACACACGGGGCTTATAGGGTTCGGATTTCTGTGCTCAGTGATGGCACGTTAAATTTTACAAGGGTGACCGCGCAAGACACAGGCTTGTATACATGCTTGGTGAGTAACTCTGTGGGGAATACAACAGCTTCTGCAACTCTTAATGTAACCGCACAGGAGTGTATTACTTATTTTTCAACCATCACAGTAGAAACTGTGGAACCTTCTCAGGATGAGGCACGGACCACAGAACAGGTTTGGCCCACACCAGTTATTGATTGGGACACCACTAATGCGACAACCTCTCTCACACCACAGAGCACAAGGTCAATGGAAAAAGCATTCACAATTCCTGTGACAGATTTAATCAATGGGATCCCAGGAATAGATGAGGTTATGAAGACTACCAAAATCATAATTGGTTGTTTTGTGGCAATCACTCTTATGGCTGCTGTGATGTTGGTCATTTTTTACAAAATGAGAAAACAACATCACCGGCAAAATCATCATGCTCCAACACGGACTGTAGAAATCATTAATGTGGATGATGAACTTACAGGTGATACACCTATAGAAAGTCATTTGCCCATGCCAGCAATAGAGCATGAGCACTTAAATCACTATAACTCTTATAAATCTCCTTTCAACCACACAACAACAGTTAACACAATAAATTCCATACACAGTTCAGTGCATGAACCATTATTGATCCGAATGAACTCTAAAGACAATGTACAAGAGACTCAGATCTAAACCATTTACAGATTTAAGGGGGAATTTAAAACAAAAAAAAGACAGTTTATTAAAAAAATGACACAGATGACTGGGCTAAATCTACTGTTTCAAAAAAAGTGTCTTTACAAAAAAAGAAATTTATTTATTAAAAATTCTATTGTGAGCGAAAGCAGACAAAATTATGTGTATTCCTCAGAACCTCTTTTTGCTGCATTTATTTACCCTACTCTACTGATTTACCTTCCCTTCTTTCCCATACCTTCCCTTCTATTCCATTTGCCATATTTTTCATAGAACAACTTGATTCTCTAAAGAACTGGTCTAGGAATTTTTGTAAGAATTCTGTTAATGCTTTGGGAATTTTTATGGTGAATTCTAGTGGTGAGATTCGGTCTATTTTGTCTTTTTTTATTTCATTTTCTTCTCATTCCCTTTTTGAAATGGTTCAGAGGGGAAATGGATGTTAGCAGTAGATTTACGAGAACAATCAAGGAACAGAAACAAACAAAACAAAATATTTTATTTTTATTTTATTTTTTCACATTTCTGTGTTTCCTGAAGGGACAATTCTGTGAAAGGGGGAAAAAAATCTAAGAAATTAATTTTCATGTGAGCATCTATAAAACCCATGATCTTTTAAACAACTCTAGAACCAGGATTTGTAGTTCAAACACTAAAATAAGATTATAAATAAAATATTGTTGGTTTTTTTTTCTGTACTCATTTTTAGTGTGATGTTAAAATGTCAAAAGGTCGTTCCACATTTTACATTTTTTTTTCATTCATCATTCCATGGCTTTCCTTCAAAAGCATTCAAAATAATGGTAACAAAAATATTATAACAACATTTTGAATTTTAACTGAAAGTAATAATACACTTTTTTTACTTAATAACCAGCATACCATGCCTAAAGGTTAATGATCACAGAAAATAATTCAGGAAATTTACTGGGGTTAAATAAATGAAATGAATTGTTTGATGAATTGAATGAAATTTATCTTCACATTTGATCAGAATTTTTCATTAGAAAAGTCATTTTATTCGTGGAATGCTCTAAAAATTCTTCCTCAGAATTTTGGTTGAGCAGTTCTTGGTTGGACACCAAAGGATTTGCTTATCTTGTTAACAAAAATGTGTTTGTGGGAGCATCCATTTTATATTTAAAGGTAAGAAGGAGGAAGAAGAAAGAAAGAAAGAAAGAAAGAAAGAAAGAAAGAAAGAAAGAATTGAAATGGCATTTTCTGTCCAAAGTTCTAAAACCACTGGTCCAAATAATTTGATCCAGCACTAATCTTAACCATGTGTTGGAATGTGGCCTTAATTTGTAAATAAAGGTTATAATTAACCATAAGTATTATTCATCTACTTTTTCTGGCTTTGGTGGTGTCTTCTGTAGCAAGTGAAGGACATCAGCAAAAAGTTCAGATTTCACAAGGCTTGTTTGAGAATATATTATTAACCTATAGTTCTAGCCAACTTTTTGTTAGTGTTCATATGAAATGAAGTTTTTATTTTGATTGCATGAAAACAGAGCTGCAAATATTGATGCTGTTTGCTATTTAGATCAACTGAAATATGGTCGAGCAAGATAAGCTAACAAATAAAATTGTGACACTGAAAACATCCAGGAACAGTATTCAACAACAGGAATTATTGGAGGGAAAAAACAGATTCCCTTAATTCTTTTTCTTTTTATCTGATGTAGACCAATGATAAGTATCAGAAATTCAAGTGAGAAGTAAACCTCAATAGGATTTTTCAATGATGAACCGAATTCCTTTATGAAGTGTGGTTCAGAAGATCCATTGGAATTGTTCTAGCCAGAAGATCCATTCAAGATCATGCCTTTCCATGCCATTTATGAAGCAGTTATTATTTTTCACAGTTGTGCAGAAACAAAATCAAAACCCAAGTCACTACAATCCAAATCTCTGAACTCACCAAGGGTTGTCTTAACTCATCAAGGTTCATCCCAACATTTCTTGTAGATTAGACCTCAGCCTGGACAGAAAATTGGCAACTTATTAAACCCTTGAAAAGATGATCTCCGTTTTCCTTTCTCCCTTTGACAAAAATGTTGAAGGAGGAGAAAAATATGGATATCCATATAAGTAATAATAATTAAACTTGTGTTAATAATTAATATAAATAGGTTTTTAAAAGCTAATCATGGAGCTTTTTTAAAAAAAATGTTCAAATGTTGGGCTTTATGGCTCTACTCATTTGAAAATGATTGTTGTGGCTGAGTTATAGTACAATAATTTCTCCTCTACAATATCTTTAAATAACGTATCTGACTTGGGTAATGGAAAACAAGAGTATATATTATAATTCCTTATAATAACTGTAAATCTCATATCATATAATAATTTGTTCTTCGGCAAAGTTTGGAAATTTACTTGTGAACTTTTCAAATCTTGAACCAAATAAGATGAGCCTTTAAAATGCTGAATGTACCTGAAGCATTTATTGTTTTCCTCCCTATTGCACCCCTAAGAACTTCCTCTACAAGTCATCAAATTTGCCAACACTTTTTCCTTAAATTTATTGTTTCAGGTAAGAAGACCATGAAATAAAAGAAGCCTTTTTCCTGCTGTCTCCCCCACCCCCACGACACCAGTATCTTATGTTCTGTTCAGTATACATTGGCCTATTGCAAATTTCCCTATATTCTTAGTGAAATTCCATCTCCCTTACATCTCCAGGAAAAATTGTTCTTAAATATTAATTGTGGGTTTTTTTTTTTTTTTTGATATCTTTGTGGCCAGTTCATGGCATGGGAAATAGTGGTTAAGGTATTGGAATGGAACTGGGAGAAAACAATTCAAATCTGTCTTCAGCCACAAAAGTTCTCTGAATGACTTTGAGCCAGTCACTCTCTCTAAGCCCAGTCAACCTCACCTGCTTTTTTGCTGTGAGAACTATAAATGTCACTTTTCTAAACAAAAGACAGGATAAAAATTAATCAAATCAATTCAACTGGTTTCAAAATAGAACTTTGAATAGAACTTATTTAGAAAGTAAGCAGCCACAAGCCAGGCAAACAAAGAAGCGCACTGACAAGGGTAGTGATTTTGTTTTTCTTTGCTCTTGTATTGAATATGGTCAATAGAATCAAACTAGATACAAGCAAAAAACAAAAAGATCCTAAGAAACTTCAGTTCTGAAAAGGAATCCAGATCACTTTAGTTTCAACATGGATTCTGTTGTTGGATTTTCCAAAAATGAACCTTAATGTCTGTATCCTAAATTAACTGTTCAATTTGGCTTAATAACATAGCTTTGTGACTTGCTCCAAAAACTTAATTTGCACCATATCAAGGACTGTTTTGCATCCAACAATTCCAACATGGTTCATCCATTTGCACCTACACAAACCCAATAGGTCAATCATAAGCCTAATATTATCAGATACTTGATGTCCTTTAATGAAACTGAATTGTCTCAAGTGGCTTATTGAATGTAATTCTCTCCGCAACTATGTGACGGATGTACAGTAGCTGTTAAAAGATTGGCATCAATCTTGGAGAATAACAATTCACACAATTGCTAGGATCCTTTCTTGATTTATTATAATGTATCCACATAGTTTTCTTAAACTAAGGCCTTATTTTTGAAATATTTCTTGTGAACCTCTAGCTAGCAGAATGAGAGGCATGCTTTCCTTATATTCTTATGCCATTGAGGAAATTCCATTTGTCCTGGGGATTGCTGAGAGAGGGAGCGGAGGTTTTCCAGATTTTTTTGTTACAATGGTGTCAAATATTATTTCAAAGTGCAGCTAACTCTTTTGAAAGAACATGATCTCTGGAAGATTTTGTTCTGTCTGAAAAATCATTTTTCTCAATGAGCATGCTTACATTTCTGGAATATAAAGTTTTATTATACTTCAGGAACAGAAAGCTAATTTTGTTGTTGTCTCTGTGAATTATTCCTCCAAAATCTCTTTATTGTGCATAATCATACTTTGATTCAATTGTTTCAGATAAGAAGCTAATATTTTATCAGATTTTTTCCTTGTTCCCAATAGAATTATTTAATATACTTCAATATTTATTTAGTATTTAAGAGACCTAATTGATCAAGTTCTAATTTAAACAATCTAACAGGGATCTGCTTCCAAAGTATGCTTTCTACAGTGCATATTCAATGTTTTATGTCTGTTTCCAATATTTTACCATATGAGACTTTTATTTTTATCTTTCAAGAGACATAATTTATTGTCTTATGCTGTACAAATGCTTTAAAAATTGGCATTACACCATTCTATCCACCTACCCTAATGATAATGGACTTGTAGTCAAATATCTTACTGGAAAGACCAAATACATTAATCTTTTTAATCTTTTGTTTATCTTCCAACCAACCAATTATTTATTGATTCTTTGCCTAGTATGTGGAGAAAATCCATTGGAAATCCAGCTGAAAGTACAGGAACAAAATCCAGGAATATAATTTCTATCTTCAACTGCAAGACTATATGTTTTCTTAAAATTTCAGTTGAAATACATCTTAATCCCTTCAAGAAAGTAGATCAAAAATTGTTTCAAGGAATTTCAAAGTTGGATTTGTTCCATTGCAGTGAAAGCAATATATTCAGTTGCTGGAAGTCAACATCTACAAAAAACAACATTCAAAATGTGGCCTTGTTATTTACAATAAATTTTCTGTCTTCATTGATTTTCAGTATTATGATTCTCATCATCACAGAAGTAGGTTTTTATGTAAAAGGTGAATGTGAATAAGCCTTATGTTTAGAAATATTTGAGCTGAGATGGCACAGCAGTTGGAGTGCAGTACTGCAGGCCACTTTAGCTGACTGTGTTCAGCAGGTCAGTGGTTCAAATCTCACCGGCTCAAGCTTGACTCAGCCTTCCATCCTTCCAGGGTAGATAAAATGAGGACCCAGATTGTTGAGGGCAATGTAAATATATATATATATATATACATTGCTTACTGGTGTACACCGCTTAGAGAGTGCTTGCACTTAAAGCGGTATATAAGTCTCATAAATAAATAAATATGAATCTAACATTTGTTTTGTTGAGACGACACGTAAGAAGAAAATATAAACAATACAGTACAAGCTTGATTGAATCTCTAGGTAACTCAATATATTTCAGTAAGCAGTAAATTGTTGCAACCAAATCTAGTAATCCAAATAATTATGATAATTTCAATGTCAAATCTAAAGTTGATTTCAGATTGTTTTATTTCCGCCAGTTTAATTGGAATTTTGCACAGGTGCTTTAGGAAGAACAGAAATATAACAGAATACACCTTCTATTTTTATTTATTTATTTACTTATTTACTTGCCTATATACTTTGTATGAGGAGTCATTTGTCAAGGCTGTCTTTGCCAGAATTGTAAATCTGAAGGTTGGTGCCAAATCGCACCTGGTACATGATGTCTTCATTAAATGGTCACTCATAAGCTCAGACAATAACTAGCTTTTGTAGACCCCAGATCTAATCAAAAATGCAAAAAAAATCTCTTGAACCTTATAATTTAGTTACATGTATTCATGGAATCTTCTTGAGCAGGCAGCTATGGTATGTTTTTGAAGTGTGGCTATGAAAATTGTCACAACACACCCAATCTTGGGCATTAGCAAAACCAACATTTAATAGAAAAAGTTCATCTGCTTGTAATTCAGCAGAAATTTTATGGAATATGTAATTCTGATAATTTAATCTGTGATATGAAATGTGTTGCTTCTATAATAAACAGAAACTCAAGTCTGAAAAGGAAGGTAAGTATGAACTACCCTGTACAATAAGCATAACAGACAGACGTTTTAATAGTTTTATAGAATTTTTCATTTATTCTTGAAAAATAACTTAAATTCCAAGGATTTTAATTTCTGAATAAGTGTACTGAAATCTCTAAGCACAATGATTTCTATATTTCCTGTATAAGTAATATGTTTATTTTCCTTTTCCACTCATATCTTAAAAACACATTCATGGTCCTGCTCAGCAATTGCTTATTCATTCATTCCAGGACTATTGCTTCTCCAAATAACTAATGCAAGTCATATACTCTGAAATCAGTTCCAAAGTTGTTGTCTAAACTAAAATATTACTTTTTTTTAATACTGTGGCTTGTTTCTTATTTTCATTATCAATTTGTCTTCTGATTTTATTAGTTCGATAATATTTCCTTAACATTTAGATTAGCCATATGTAAATTGGCACTATTACTTTTTTATTGTTATTATGACCTGCACATTATATAATATGATATAGTATAGTTATAGGCACCTTTAAAAAATACAGAAACATAAGTATTGCACACACATGCTAGCAAAGGAAAGCATTATTGCAGTGATGGTGAACCTTTTAGAAAC